CATGTCTGAGGGATGCCAGCGACCCCCAACTCCACAAGTGACCGGTCTTATGCTTTGGGGTTTGTTTTATTTTCAATTTGTTTTGGAACTAAAACTACCCCAAAAAATAAAATGAAATGCCACGAATCCATGAATTCAAGCGATTGGAGTTCATACATACCATGTCCATGGCTGGGAGGTCGTCTAGACACTTCTGCTTAATTTCTGTCCTCCTGTCCCACCTCCCTGCGGCCAGGACACGACCTTAGCCACACTCACAGCCGGGGGTGTGCTAAGTGGCCCTCAGCACTTCCTAATGTCACTGCCATGGGATGAGAAACGCACCCACCTGGTATCAGTGTTAGGGCTACAGGTGGGCCAGGCACCTGCACAGAGAGCTCCTAAATGACCATAAGCATCAGATCTGATGGCTCCATACCCATGGTTTAAAATATTTTGTGTCTCATCATCTAAAATAACTAACCCATGATGTGCTATGTTCGGCGACTCTGCTAACATTGGTCGCTATGTCTTCATCTATCTGTCAGCCCTTTCGAGTCCATTCTCAGCAAACCAACCTGATGCTGCACAATCACTGCAATTCAAATGCCACCGATGCTTTCAACAGAGGCGCGGAGGACTGGTGCTAAAGGCCCACGGCGAGGAGAAAGGCAGGCCAGCCACGGTGTGTGCCACAGGAACAGGAGGGGTGGCCCTAACCTGCTGGATGCCACCTAACCTTCAGAAGCAATAGAACTTAAAACGACATGATTCTGCCATGATAGCAGTGTGACATGCTAAATAATAATGACACAGATGTTTCACTGAGCATCTGTCATGACCAAGGCACGCGGCTAATGCTTGGCATCCATTTGTCTTACTCCCCACAAGTTAATAAATGGCTGTAAGGCAACAGAAACAGACAAGGAGATTGTATAAGACGTATTTAGGTCCTAGTTAGCAATCAACACAAATAACTTTTCTAGGTAGGTCCATAGAGAAAGATACTAAAAAAAAGTACAAACATTCCAAAACTATAGAAGAATTTTAAAAAATGAATGTGAGGTGAAGATTTTTCCTTGTATCAAGACACAAAATTGAATTGGTTGCAAACAAAAGTTTTATAACAAGAAAAAAGCAAACCTGTTGGAAAATATTTGCAATGTACCCCGAAGTCTTCATCATAATATTCCAAGAGAATCACTGAGCCAAAGAAATGCACTTAACAGAAATCAGAGCAGTTTGGAAAAAAGAAATTACAGAGTTCCCAAGAGGACGACTGGAAAAGAGGCACTAAAACATCCTGACCTTGTTAAAAAAGACAGCAAGAGAAAAGTTGGTCTCTGCCACCATCAGTTGTTAAAAACGGAAATGCTGATGGTGTCAGAGAGAGTGAGACTCCAGAACACCAACACCAAGAAAGCTGCGGAAGAGCCGAGATGCTTGCGCTGCTCCTGCTGGGGCCTCTGCGCTGGCCCACATCATGCTTCAGGTCACCTGCGCCAGGGCAGCACCCACAGGGGCAGAATACGGTGCCAGGGCCCAGGTCCACCCTGGTCCTCCTGGCACACAACGCGCTGTCCCCAGATCTGGTCTAGGGAACTCCTGGCCACATGAGTGTCCCTTCCTCATGTCCAGGACGCATTAATCTCACCTGAGTCTCCCTCAGCAGCCCTGCCAGGCCTGCTGCTACCGCAGAGCTGACCCAGGCAGAGACAGCTCAGTGCCAGGGTGCCTGCCTGGCAGCCGCCAGGGCCTGAGTTCAAGTCCCAATTCCAAAGATGAACAAATAAACACATAAATGAATAAATAAATAAGAAAAAAGGAAACACAACCCGGAGTTGGCAGAGGAGTCCAGAAGGTTCCAAGTTCATACAATGGCCAAGGCCGGCAGGAGCAGCCCTCTGCAGGGAGCGAGCAGTCCCTGGGCTCTCTCTAGGGGGAACAGGGCAAAGCCAGCCAGCCAGCCACTCCAGAGCCTCGGAAAGGGGGTGAAGAAAGAAAAGCTTAGGTGGGAAGGAAGAGATCTGCGGCTGCTCCTGAATCTAAGGTCAAATTTAGGAAGAAGGAAAGGAGGATTGGAGGGAGGGGAGGGGCAGGGAGGGAGGGGAGGAACATGGGCAGGTGGGCAGGCGAAGGGGAAGGACAGGACAGAAAGGGAGGGAGGGAGAAAAGAAAAGTGCACAGAACAACAGTCACTGAGGGAAAGTATGGAATAGAACCACTTCTTAAAGCTGCTTGCACTGAGCCTTTTCAATGCCCCAAACCCAGCGCCAAGCCCTCTCCCTGCACCGCACAGAAGCTCTGAGCGTGGGGTCCACACACGAGTGAGCACCACCCCAGGTTCAGTTACCTAACCGGAATCGATCCTCTTTCAAGTAGGAGGGATTCCTTCGGCGTGCTCTTCCTTTAAACAGATTCAAAAGCTTAGTGTGGCTAACATTTCTAAGGGAGCTCTGAGATCGGTTTTAACAATCCCCAAGTCTTCTACGCGGTCTTTTCTGAAAGGATCTGACTACGCCCAGGATATTTGTGCCTCACCTCATATTCGACTTGGAACTGTACGGTTATCACTCATTCATTCAGTGAACACCTTTCTGAGCAAATGCTAAATGATCTCAATCAGTTCTGACGTTGTGCCTTCACCCCTACATCTCTTCCCTATACGTATTTGTCACTTTGTGGCCCTCGGTCTTCATTTCATCGTTTTTTTGTGTGCTACTCCTGGACCCCTGGTCCACTGCTTTTTTCTCAATCTCTGTACAGCTGACTGCTTTGTTGAATTTCACATAAGGGAGACCAGGTGATGTTTTCTCTGTGCCCTTCACTTCCATGTGGTGGAAAACAGTAGGTTTTAAAGTCTGAACAACATTCCATTGTGTACATGCGTGCATGTATGTGTATAGACACATACGTGCACAGACAGAATTACACACGTTTTCTTCAGCTGCTTCTCTGCTGAGAGCCACACCGTGCCCTTTGGCTGTTGAGTGAATAACAGGATGAAACCACAGCGTGGGTGTCTTTACCAGGGCTGGCCCTTGCTCTCTCTTGGGCGTGGGTGGGGTCCTATGGCTGCTCTGTTTTCCATTTCTTCAGGAATCACCCACCATTTTCCACAAGGACAAACTAAGCCACATCCTGGCCAACAGCGCAGCAGGGCGCCCTTTGTGTCTGAGCTCACCAACACTGGTTAGTGCTCATGTTTTGACAGCAGGACTGCAGCAGTGGCACTCTATTAGGATTTTTGTTTAAAAAAGATTACAGTTTCTCCCTTACACACACACACACACACACACACACACACACACACACACTGTACAGTGATGGATGCTAACGTGCTTCATTACAGAAACAATTCTGACACTTCATGTGCTGAACCTTAAACATACACATGAAAATTCATTTAAAAAGGATCTTGAAGTCCAAGTGAAAACTTTGATTATACCAAGGATTTTAAATACTGTTCAAAAGGATAAACCACATAAATTAATTTAGAGCTTATCAGGAAACTTTGCAATAGCTCACAAACAAACAACGCTTACTTTACAGAGTCTCCCAACATGTATCCCCTAATGTTGCTTTCATTCAACTTTCTTGTCTATTTAACATGGATTTCCTAGACCTTAAAATAAAACCTAGCAGATTCTAAGACAAAAAGTTACAGACTCCACATGGAAAATCTTCATCACACTGGTACAGATTGCACAGTACATACAAACATATTAAATAAATAACAAAACAAAGGAGCAGTAATGTTCAATTGCACCTTGTTTGTAAAAGAAAAATCAAAATTATGGTAGAATCTGGCTAAAGGTTTCAGGCCAGGTCAAGTTTTACATCATTTTTTTTTTTTTAAACCGGTACCAGGGACCGAACTCACGACCTCCTGCTTATAAGGCAGGTGCTTATGCCACTAAGCTAAATCCCCAGCCCCTTACATCAGTTATTACAAAGCAACCAATGATATATAAACTATACACAAATGGCCAACTTGAAATAGATAGCAATCCAAGAGACGCTGGCAGAACAGAGGGAAACAAAGCACCTTGTGGACTGGACCAGGCTGCTTCCAATCAAGCTGCAAATCTGATTCCCAGTCCAAGAAGGAAGCTCAGCACCGGCCCTGGACCACCAGAAAAGGTACTATGCGTTTGCTCTCAGGGACTTTCATGGGTTCCTACTGGTTTACTAGGAGCACAAATGGGTGGAGTTTGCCCATTTCCAAGGGCTCCCTTTAACTCTCAAATTCTGAAAACTGCTTTTTTTTTAATAGCCAATATTTTCTTCTTCCAAAGAAATGCACACTTTTATACTGCTTTCATTATTTAAGATTAGTCTCCTTTTTAGTCTTGTTATGAAAACAAATAATCAGATCATTTCAGCTTCCCCAGTTGTAGATGCAGATGTTACTGTGCTGATGTGGAACAAGCCTCACAAACTTGTGACGCGGGCTGCTCTGGCTTGGGTCTGCCACATCCCCCAGCGGCTCCTGCTTTAAAGGCTTGATTGGTCCCTGGCCCAGAACACTACTGCAACATGGTGGTGCCTCCGACACAGTGGCCTAGGGCAAGGTCTCAGGGTCCTGTGGCCATGTCCTTAAGGGAGATCATGGGACACAGCACTCTCCCCGCTCTCCACTTTCTCCTTCACGGACTGCAATTGTAATGTGCTGCCTCTCCACAGGCCAAAATCAACAAGAACTGAACCCTGCAAAACCATGAGCCAAAATGAACCTTTCTTGTTTTTAAGTTGATCACCTCGGGTATTTTGCAACAGTAATGGAAGGCTGACAAGTGATTACTGAACTGAGCATATAAACTGATGGAGAGGGTAAGTGCAGCTAGAAAGAGAGGCTGCCACCCTGTACACTTCTTATTTCACACTCTTCTAAGGCTTCCACTTACTTCTACTCATGTGTCAAGTGACAGTGATACTGACAATTCTATGTTAGAAAGCACAGCACTGCCACACAACCATTTCCTTTACCCTCAGGCTGTGCCAACACACTGCATACTCACCGCCCGCGCTGAGTCCCCGAAGTCAATCTTCAGTCTTCCCATGGCCCTGATAATAGCAATGATGGACTGGATGGTGTTGCTGTAGACCACGGCTTTGTACTGCTTGCACTCCTCTTCCGAATACCCCGCCTCGTGGATAATTCTAACAGGGTGAGAGGAAAATCAGAACCCCGACATTCCTCCCGGGGACAGGACAGCTTAAAACAGTCGAATCCTTTATCCTACTTACTTCATCTGCTTTACAATGGTACTTTTCCCAGACTCACCAGCACCTAAAAACAAAGTAATACAAGATGAGATCTCTGATTTCAATATCATCACTTAAGTATGTCCCATTCGCCCCACAAAAATGCACACACACACACACCAAATGCACACTCTCTATGTGTGTGCCTCACAGCTGGGCTTTGCTTTATATTAAAACGAGAAACAAGGAGGTAAACAGAGAGGATCTACACGTCTAAACCCTTAACGTACGTTACGAACACCACGGTTGGTGACCGTGTATTGGACTCAGATTGTTTTCTTCCTTCCTTCTTTCGTATTGCTGGACACCAAACTCAGGCTCTTGCTAGTAGTATAGGGGCAATGTGCACGATATGTGAGGTGACAGATACGTTATTTTTGCACTGAAGCCGAGTATCTTTAATCCTAACTCCTGGCTCTTGTCCAGCTGCATGGCAGCAGGACCCAGGTGACCGCATATCACATGACTATGGCTGTGACCTGTGCAACACATGTTCGATCATCATCCCTACAGCCCAGCCCAGCCCAGCTGTCAAGAGGTAACAGGGGCACAGTGCTATGCAGGACACAAGGCTTCTGAGTTAACCATTCCCTAACCCGAGCCCTAATCCCAGCCCCAACCCCAACCCCAAATCCAAGCCCAACCCAAAGCCCACAAGTCAAAAAGCCAAGGCCTCTTCAAAGCTCCCTTCTCTGTTCCTCCACGGGGCTCCCCAGGGGTTTGGCCCGAGTTCCTCTATCCCAGCTCCCACTTGGAGAGTGGGCTCTTTCAGGGGCTCCCGCCTAGCAGCAGCTGCTGCTCTCTAGCAGACTGGATCTGGTGATGACTGGGGGAGGGGGGGCTCCTCTCCACTTATGGATCCAGACAGCATCTGAGTGTGTGCCACGCAGGGACAGGAGGCCATGAGTCGTCCCTTCCCGCCCTCCTGGGCACCATGGCCACCCACACTGGAAGCACAGAGTCTCTCACTCAGACACAGCCAGCTCTGCTCCCCACCTGGCCACACTGTACCACCCACCCACATCCTGGTCCCTGTCCCCACAACTGCTGACCCATGATCCATTGCTACACCGAAGCACAGCAGCCACCCTGTGCCAGGTGCACAGCCTGCAGACCTGAGGGCTGCATGTATGCAAGCTGCTTGTCACTGGCAGGACTGCACAGAAACCTCCAGGCCTCCCATGCCGCCTCTTGCCTCCTGCCACCAGGGACCGACGCACAGAACAGGGTGTTCTTAAGTGGACAACTGGAAAAATCCAGGGAGATAACAGCCTCTCTTTTCCTGGTGGTTTGATACTGAGGAAATCTTCCCCAGAGGCACTCCCATGGAATTCAACAGGAGCACTCAATAGACAGCGAGGGCCTGCTCCGTCTATGCAGCCTGAGTCTCCCAGGTCATCTGCCAATAAACAGTCTCAAGATAAACAGCCCATTATTTATTAAGCACAGCAGCCCAGAGGCCACAGCAGAGGCACTCTGGCCGTCCCCTTGTGTAACAGGACAGCCCCTGCTGTGCTGCGAGGGGTGTGGCATGGGGACACTGATGCCCAGGCACGCTGAGCTTCTGTGAGAGGCCCCCAGGCGCCCACCACCCACACCACACCCACCCACCACCACAGCAGCTCTCCGGCCCAAAGCAAGGGACACGGGGTGAGGGACAGGGATGAGGAAGCTGCGAGCAACACTCAGAAGGCAAGAGTGAGCAGACCTGCACACAGGAATCTCTAAACTTCGTTATTTATATTTGGACTTTTGAGACAGGGTGTCACTGTGTAGCCCAGGCCGGCCTGGAACTCTGCAAACGCTGGACACTTAGCTTATTTTGCAATAAGCACACTGTCATTGCTATGGTTAAAAAACAACCCTGAGATGTACTTAAAAAGTGGAGGTGCAACTAATGAGGCTCTTTCCCAGCGATCAGGTACTCTGTGGGATAGATGTGGAGAGGCAGAAACTGCACACACCTTTCGGAGCCGAGCCGTTATGTAATTAGTTTTCAATTCTCACTTTCTCATGCAGAGGCTCCTAACAGGAAAACAACGCACGCCAGCGCTGGAAGCTTCCAAGTGCGCATGCGTGCTGGTGTCCGCTCCACCTGGTGGAGAGGAGGGACGAGGGTGCTCCCGAAACTCCAGAACATCGCATCTGAGAGGCTAGCGCCCCAAGGTGCAACTCAGGGACAAGAAGGGGCGAGGAGAAGCAATGAATTTCCAGAAACACTCATCAGGCACTCTTCCTTTCCTCTTAAACCCAGAGTGGGATCCAAGTGTCAGTCGGCCACAAGCAGGAAGCACATGTCCACAGGCAGAGGGCGTGAGTCGGGGGGAAGTCAACGTGTGTGGTCCCTGTGGCCACAGGCCTGGCAGCAAGCAGGTGACCAGAGTGAGACCTCAGAGGAGGGAGGTGCCTCCGCCCCCAGGCACTGACAACTCGGTCTCTGGGCTGGAAGGCAGCAGATGAGAACTCAGGAGGGGCTGAGGTGGCTCTTGGCACATGGGACAGTCATGCAGAGGGGGGCAGCAGCCTAGAGAGGGGCGCACGGGAAGGTAAAGGAAGGTGGAGAATCTGAAATGCAAAGGCAAGTCAAGGAACCACTGGTGGGATCCTGATTCCTCCATAAGAATTTTATGATTTAGTATCATAAAAATGACAGCCAAATAGTGTGTCTCTCCTGATTTCACTGACAGGGCACCAGAGGAGATTTTAAAGTTTTAATTGCTAGTGAGCTTAAAAAACAACAGCAGCCAGGCGCGGGGCTGCCAGTCTATCATTTGAGCACTGAGGGTGGCAGAGGCCCAAGGGCACTGAGAGTGGCCCAGGCTCAAAATCCAAACCAAAAGGAGGGAGCATACAGCCCACGGGGGGACAGCCCCCAGGTCCAAGCCAAGGACTGAAAACACAAAACCAAAACCAACAGCATCCACATTCAGAAAGCAAAAGCTCGTCTGTGCTTTTAAAAGAAAATACTGCATGCCACCTGCTTAGGGTCTCATCCCTGTGAGCTGTGCCCTGGTGCCAGGCTGTAGGGCTGGGACCCCCCGGGACACGGTCTACAAGCAGGGCGATTTGTTCGGGTAATCATATGAGGAACTGCAGACACCATTGCTCCTTTAGAGAAATTCTAACTATCAATGTAGGGTTAGCAATTTAGAAAGTTTATATTAATACAACTAAGTAAAGTCACCTTTGTTCTTGCAAGTTCTCTTGTGAGATCACTGTGATAAAGGTCTTTTTAAGACAGAAGTCAATAAAAGTAATGTAATAGCAAATACAAATTAAAAGGAAATGGCCTAATTCTCCCCATTAAAAGGAAAGGGAAACACTTCCCTCTTTCCTTTGCTTGGACCACTGACTTCAGAAAAACTATCTCTAGAAGCATTTGCCTGTCTTTGAAATGTATCTATCTCCCTGTGCCATTGCGAGGTCGGGCCGTCTCTCTCCATACCCGGGAATCATCCTCCACAGCCTCACTCCCTAACATCCTTCTGCTAGAGCCACAGGGCACTGGCCGCTCCCGGGATGAGGCCATCAGCTGGCACAGGCGTTCACTCCTGTGACAGTGTGAGGGTAGGGGAAGTCTGAGGCCACAGGGCCCTACCACATGAGGACCTCCTCACTGGTCACCTCGGAAACCTGGCTGTGATGGGTGGGTCACCTGGCTGTGTCTGGGGCAAGATGACTCTGTCTATGGTCTCTCCCTAAGCAGAGTGCTATGACATCCACTGCTGTACGCTGAGCTTAGTGCAGATCCAGTAATAAAATGTTCTTTTTTTCCCCTCTACTACCTTTGTGAAGGAGATTTCTCAGTGGGAGAACATTTTGGTTTTCATTGTAATTTCCCAATAGAAAAAATAATCTACAATCTTTTCTATTTATCTGTAAGAACTGCCAAACGTATTTTAAAAACACAGAATATACCTAACATTTGGGGGATGGAGGAATAATTGGTAAACACCAAAATCTAGATTTTCAAAACAAACCAATGTCCCCAGCCTTCGGTTCCCGTAAGACTACTCCCCAAGCCACTCATGTGGAACAAACTGAGATGGAACGAAAATGTAGAAGTGGAAAGACACCAGGACATCCACAGTAAAAACTGTGTTCTGCAGAGCAAATTCCAGGCCCGGGTCACTCGCCTGAGGTGCTCCACAGCCTCATCCCACTGGTTCAGTCTAGTTCCCTTTTCTTCTAAACCACTGATTTAACTGCAATGTGAAGCACAGGAACCTGATCCTGAGATAAACGGAGCAGGCTGAGAAAAGGCAGGGAACTTTGACCTTACCGATCTAAGAAATACAGGGCCCAACCTGGGCTGGCGCCCTTCTGGCGGGTGGACCACCTGTTCCTGGGGCTCCACCCCTCAAGAGAAGCATAAATGTTCCCCATTCCAGGAAATAAAATGCCTTTCTTTCTGGATGGCCAGCATGCTATCTCTTTCTGTTCAAAAATACAACCCTTCTCCGTCTCGTCTTGACCTGTCCTGAAAATTCTTGTTCCCAAACAGGAGTCCACAAACCTGCAATCCTATTGGGTGGGACGGGTAAAGCCTCCTTATCACAACCTTGGTGATCTCCTCTGACCCTGTGGACTGACAATGCTGTTAAACTATGGGGAATGGACGCGTGCATGTGAAGGAAACGAAAGTGGTAACCCTGGGACATCCCAGAGGTCCTACTGCCCGGTTACTACAGTGTTACACACAGCGGCCACCATGTGGAATCAGTGTAAGTATCTGCAAAGAGATACGCAGACAGAGAAAATGTACCAGGAGATAGATAGATAGATAGATAGATAGATAGATAGATAGATAGATAGAGATAAAATACATTAGGGGTATTATGCATATACGTATATGAATATATTTACACACACAAATTTGAACATTTTTAGCCTTAAGAAGATGGAAATACATATCAAAGAAAGCAACCCTATGGGCATCTTATTTCTGGAGCCCAAGCCTCCAGGACCATGAAAGCATCAAGTGACCTGGGGACCTGAGAGAGTTCCAGCGTAGTGTGATTTTAA